TTCGATTGATTCTTGAAATTAATCTATCGTTAAAAATTATGTATAAAATACAATAAATCGTGATAATTGACAACTTAAAATATTTATAAAAAAACAGAAAAAAAATTGACTGATTCTTAAAATTAAATCGTGATAATTGACAACATAAAATTGTTCAAAAATGTTGTATGTGGGTAGTCTTATTGTGCCTTGAATAGCGTCAAAGAAAGTACAGGTTTGTGATTAAAAAACTTATTCCTTTATTCACGCAAACAATCGCTTCAAAAATTTCGTTATTAGCCCCAAAACATACCATTTATGTTATTGGGCCCGTGCGTAGCACGGGCAACAAAATCTAGTATATATATAAACAAATGTAAATTTTATCGTCAAATATGGTTTATTAATTCATTTAAGGCTAAAATGTTGCTGACACTAATAACATTTTTTATTACGGAATGTAGGGGTGTCAATGAAATGATTTGGTCGGTTATTTTTAAAAAATTATAATTTATACCATTTCAATTTTTTGGGTATTTTAGAAAATATAATCAAAATTAGATTTTTAAAATCATCCCAATTATATCGATTTCTTTTCGATATCGGTATGGTTCGATTAATTTATGATATTTTTTATTTTTAAAAGATCACCTCAAACTATACTATTATTAAAATATTTCTTTCGCAAACAAGTTCTTGAAAGTCACATCAATTCAAAGGATAAATATAGACCCAAAGTTAGATGGCAAGGATAAATATATATAAAAAATATGACAAAGGATAAATATAACCCCTTTTCTAAGAATATAAGGGCAAATATGATCTTTTTTCGTTTAAAAATATCCCCAATAAGATTTTTTTTCATATCCAAATTTTATTTATAAATAGATTATTAATATGTTAAATCCACCCTGAAAACGCGGGTTCAGCAGTGATGCCCAAAAACACGGAGGGAGAATGCGCACACACGCCAGCTATGTTGTTGTTAACCAAAACGTAATTTTTCTTTTATCTTTTCTCATTTCTTGGAAAAGCATAGTATTTCGTGTCAACAAGAAAATCAAATCACATGGTTTAATTTCTCCATAATGCTGGAATTATATATCTCAGGTTTGGTTTTCTCCGTCATTTGGTACCCCTTTTTGTTTTTTTTTTCCCTTTAAAATTAATCGATGATTGATTTGTTGATATGGACACTCTCAATCCAAGAATTTAAAGGTTGTATAATTATTTAAAATTGAATGTGGGTTTTTGATTACTCTCTTATTTGTGTACCCTTTGTTCTTGTTTTGGGATTCTGATTTGAATGGTATAGATTTGGGTATCCTCCTTTAATGCTGATATTGCTGTTTGTCTGCATTTTAATAGATTATCTTTACCCTCATTACAGTCTTGTTTTGGGGGTGGGGTACTGCTTTCTCGATTTGTGTGATTTGGGGCTGGTTAGATAACTAAAAATCAATTTCTTATGCAATAACCAGATGGTGATGAAAAATAACGGATTAAACTAGGCGAAAATAATCCAAAAACCATACAGGTCCTTGATGTATGATCCTAATGTTTGCTGAGGCAATTTCAGATTCTATATTTTAAATATTTGGAAGGGGTCTAAAATTTCTCTTTTTTCTTCCTAGGATGAGCCAGTGTGGAAATCATCCCGCAAAGATAATTGGTGTTAGTAAAGTATTTTTCAGGTGAGTTTATCTAAGAGGTCTTCTTTGTGATAAATTGGAAAGGGTTTTTTATACTGTTATGATGTTTGTATCTATTAATAAGAGTACCCTTTTTTTGCAGTTCAGGGTTTAGGAGATCCTGTATTACTGGTCCATGCAGTTGGGAATGCACGGAAATCTTGTGGCAGTAGTCTAATGTTCTATTGGAGTGTAGTCTTGGGGTTGTTCTAGGTTAGCAATGGAAAGTAAAGTAGTAGATGAAAATGAGGAAGGCCCGGTTGTTCCCATGCGAGTTGATAGATTTGGTTTTGTAAAGCAGGAACATGGTCCTACTGAAGGTTTAGCAAGGAGCCGGTCGGCCTTTGAATATCAGAGGTAGGGACCTCTTTTTTGATTTATTAGTTGCTGTAGTTAAACTGGAGTTTTAATTTTTCTTGTCCTATTTCGACTTCTACAACAGACTCTTGTTCTCTTTCTCCACACACTCAATTTGCCATCCTGAAGACTGAAATATAAACATATTTTCGTGATATCACAAAATTTTAATGGTGCTTCTTCAGATGTTTAATCAACAAACTCCGTACTAAGGAGAACCTAATTCAAATTCATTGCTCCTGTGCGATGAACAACTTTGTTTCTGAAGTATTTCTACTGGTGTTTGGGGCAATGAATCTTTATAAGTAATATTCGTGTACGAGAAGTAAATCGTAGGGTTACACATATAAGTCAACATATTTGTGTCAGGAATAATAGCATTAAACTGGTATGAATAAAGTAGAATGGATATATGGATACAACTGAACCCAATTAGTTTGGAATTAACGAGTGTGTTTTTTTTTAGAAAGGTAACGAAAGAATTATGGTGTATTAATTGATTGGTTGATTCTCTTATTACATTTATTAAAAATATTTTGCAGAGATGAAAGAAGGATTAGGAAATGGAGAAAAATGATAGGTGTTGGAGGAAGTGATTGGAAGCAGTATGTTCGGAGGAAACCACATGTTGTTAAAAGACGAATACGGAAAGGAATTCCTGATTGCCTGAGGGGGCTTGTCTGGCAGCTAATTTCTGGAAGTCGAGACCTCTTGTTGTTAAATCCTGGAGTTTATGAGGTAGGAGTTAACTTTTGTCCAGTTTTATTCTTCTTTGTTTTCTGGAAATAGTCTTGCTGCTTCTGTTACTAATGGAGATAGATAATTTGTGTGAGCCTAGGAGAAAAGCTTAAAGTCCTACCTTTTTGGCTAATTTTTGTAGTTTCGGGCTAATTCTGCTTTTCAATTGATTGATCGTTCCTTGACATGTTCTTTTTTGCTTTACCTGTGTAATGGAAATCACTCATCTCATTAGCGTTTTATTTGCTGCAGCAACTAGTCATATATGAGACATCAGCTTCCGAGTTGGATATTATTCGAGATATTTCTCGCACCTTTCCTTCACATGTTTTCTTTCAGCAGAGACACGGACCTGGTCAAAGGTCTCTTTACAATGTTCTGAAAGCATATTCTGTCTTTGACCGAGATGTTGGATACGTACAGGTATGCATCTTTAAATTATTGATTCATATGTGATCTAGTGTATGGTTATCAATTTGGGATGATACTGATCATTTTGATTGCAGGGCATGGGATTCGTGGCAGGTCTGCTTCTTCTTTACATGAGTGAAGAAGATGCATTTTGGTTACTAGTTGCATTGTTGAAGGGAGCCGTTCACACTCCTATGGAAGGAATGTACTTGGTAAGCCTTCACCTTCAAACAGCTTGATGCAACCCCTGATAAATGTATATGGCCAATACATTTGAACTAAAAGGGATTCGGATGTGAAATATCTGATCAATTCCTAAGCTTGAAGAATTTGACTGTTCTTTTAGACCCCACTATTGACCATGGTATCCAAGTTAAACACCGAAATTTATGGGTTTTTTTATCCTTAATGCGATCAACTGCATACAAATCCAGAAAACCACTTCCATAGTCTAGGGTCCATATAATAGTTAAACAGAACCACATGATGTGTGTCTGTGTCCATATAGAGCCTATATCTAGTATCAGCTACTCTCTCCTTTCCAATTTATACAGTGCTGTTTGATTTCGTACATGTCTTTCCAATTTATATGATGGTGTTCAATTTTGACACAATTTAAGATATTCATTTTTGTCTTATGTATTATATCAGTTTGTCACGGGAAAAAAAGAGTGAATTAATGGTTGAAAAGTTAGCTTGATAGAGAAGACGTCGCATGAGAGTTAAAAATTTATATAATTAAATGGATTTGAATTCTTAGAGCGGAAAAGGGTAAAAAATATCCTTAAACTATCTGAAATAACTCATATTTACCCTTAAACTATATTTCGGTTCAAAACTACCCTTCCCGTCAAACTATTGGGTCAAAAGTACCCTTCTTATTAACGGAAGTTGTTAAATGCCATGTGGATGCCACATTGCATGCCAATACTAATTACTCTTTTTTTCCACTGCCACAT